TTTTTTTTTGAAAATAGGCCTAAAATATCATGAAAACAACATTTGGAACACAAATTCAGCATTCAAGAAGTCAATAAAGCTGATTTTAGTTCATTCTAGCACACATAACCTCAATTCTACGAATAGGCATTTAAAACAAATTAAACTTCAAGAAAAGAGGCTACTACTTTGTGCACTCGGACTTAGTTCGATCCTCAATTTACTTGGCCCCATTTATTCCTAGTTTTTTACCCCGTGCTTCGCACGGGCTGGGGTGTATCCACGTGTTTGTTATTGGAATTTTTTATTTTGGGAGTTATGCATTTAATTGAGTGGTTAAACGAAGATTTAGTTGAGGTATATTTTATGTAAAGCATACGAAACTTTTAATATTTAAGTCTTTAATTTCTTCCCTACTATTGCATTTGCATCAAGATGTCATATTTAGAATACTTCACATTCAGATGATATTCTTGTAATTTGTAATTAATATTTTATGATTTTAATATGTCAATATCATTGGACGTGTTACTTTTAGATTTTTGTGAAGTGGGATTGATAAAATTTCTAATTATCTAATATTTATAATTAAGGTCATAAAAATTTAAAAATGTCCAAGTTTTTAGTAGTTTAGAATTTAACTTTTAAATTTTAAGTTTGATGGGGGCTATTTACCCTAAATGAACAATGTGTCGCAACTGCCACCTTTTGAATTCAACACTTGTTGTGGAGTTGTTTCGATACCCATACATTCAAATACCTTTGTGAGTTCACAACTCAGAACATATCACAATGTGCAGGTAGTGAAACTTAGAGTTAACTCACCTCCATTGATTAAAATGAATCTGCAAAGTACCGCAATCTCTATTAAGAGCTTATTCCTTGCACCTGTGGTCTGAGACCAGACCTCTTTGGCTTTAGGACAAATCCAGAAGAATGGCTCAATCTTTTTTACATTCTTGCACGAACATCATTTGGATTAGAGTTTGAACAAATAAAAGGCTTTTACTTATATAATGAATAGGGTGTGACTGTTTTTTCAAAGACCCAAAGAAAAATACAAATAACAATGAATTGGAACTGGTAAAATTTAAAAATAGGAATAAGAAACAAACAAAGATAGAGAAAGATAGTGATATAAACTAAGAAACTCACGGTAGACATGTGATTGTCGGAATTAAAATTGCCTGTTGAAGTTACTCACTTCTATAGTGTCCATGTCAATCTGCATAGTGCAAGAAGCAGTGCAAGATTAAACACTCCAGATAACAAAAGTTAAAAAAATAATACAAAGGAAAGAAAAAATCATGTAGTCACTTATATCACATGTGCCAGAGTATAAAGTATTGCATCAATATTCTTTCAATTATAGTTTATAATATATCTTTTCATTCTTCAATATAATATCATACATGGAAGCCTTCCAGTTACTTAAAATATCAAAGAAAGCAGCAGAACATGCACTATGTGCCCAATTTTCACCTTGGTCACCCAGATATACATACAAAGAAAATATAGCAAGCTAAGCAGTGAAGCTCCCCTGTCTGCATAATTTAATGAGAATAATCAGCATACTATAACTTACATG